CACACACACACACACACACACACACACACACACACACACACACACACACACACACACACACACACACACACACACACACACACACACACTCACACACACACACACACACACACTCACTCAAACACACACACACACACTCACTCAAACACGCACACACACTCACTCACGCACACACACACACACACTCACTCAAACACACTCACTCAAACACGCACACACTCACTCACTCACTCACTCACTAACACACACACTCACTAACACACACACACACACACTCACTAACACACACACACACTCACTAACACACACACACACACACTCACTCAAACACACACTCACTAACACACACACACACACACTCACTCACTCAAACACACAAGCACACACACGTTTATTTGTGAACTGTTAGGAGTAGTTCTCTCTAGGAACAATAGTTCATTAGGCGTTCCTAAATAATATAAAGACTCTTGTGCAGTCTTTCAGTTCATTAAATGTCAAAGTGGCAGAATTGAGCAAATAATGCAATTCACAACTCTATGTCCTGCACAGTGACAATTAACTAATATGACAATATGAGCATTTAGTGGTCGAAACTAACCACAGAGATGGGGCAAGAAGACCGTGACCTTTCTCTTGGAAGAAATCCCAGCACATGCAATCTCCTCTCTGTCTTAATAAGAGAGTGAGAAAGAATAGCGAGAGTGCCCAAGAATATACATTACACTTGTGTGAGGTTACAACATCAGAAAAAAGGTCAGGTGACTAATGCCATGCGTGTTGATGAATAATCTTTAATAGGCAGTGCTGCTGTTAAAAAGGACTGAGCATGACTGATTTATGTAACGGTTACTGAAAGAGAACACGGGGACTACCACCGGCATGCTTCAGCTGAATCTCCAGTACCACATCTGTGTGTGTGTATACATATATATATATATATCATAGAGGTCTGTAGGGGAACTACCAGCGAGTCATCAGTTTCCTCTTTTTTTCCAAAATGTACAAACGCAGGCATTTGCTTTAGAACATCATGATTGCATCACACAAAGCACACAAAGAAATGAAGAACAGCTACACTTTGTGCTCAAAGCTTACTACACGGTCAAATACACAATGTGTAATCTGTTTAACAGCCTGTAGACCGTTTGGTATGTTTGCTTGCACACAAGTCATCATGTGTCCTATCATAAGATGTTCCGTGTGAAGCTCTGTGTGTTTCTCTGCATGTGCTGTTCAGAGGAGAGCTGGACTGATTTGGAAATGTGGAATTTCCACGTATTGATGAGGAAGCGTGGTGTGAATGGGAGCTGTCCATAAGAGACAGAAACACCGAGAACGGCTGAATGCTGCTCATGTCCCGTGGGCTCTAATTCTGCCAGCAAGCTCTTCACAGATTCACTCATCTTCATCTCCATCATGATCATCAGTAGGCAGGTGAGAGCCAGTGCACTGACATTCCATATACAATAGTTTTATTCTGCCATACATAATGAATACAACTGGATGGATACTTGATACATGTTTGTTATATATAACATTGTGGGACACCACTGAATGGTGTTATTAGGGTGTTAAGGAGAGCAGAGATGTAGATAAATGTGTTGATGCTCATGTTGTGTGCTCTTTCCTGCTAGTGTCTCTTTGATTTCAGCACATGCATTGTCATGTTTTCCCTGAGATTATTCCTGACCTCTGCGCTGCCTCTGGAGGGTAAGGATGAGTTTATGCAACACTACAGAATATTATTCCATAGCCATGTATGAAGTGCGTGCACAGGACCACTTTCCACGCATTCCTCTCCTAAAAATGCATGAATAATTATGATACAGGATTTCACTGCTTGAAATGTCATGTCAACGGCTCCTATACAATCAAAGACTTCAAGACTGATTTCAGTCAATTATTTTAACACATTATTTAAAAACATATGTGCTTGCATTCTGCTGCTTTTGTAGTGCGTCTTAACTGACCAAATGTGACCTGCGGTGTCTGATTTATCTCCATGGGCATGTTTTTTAGTCATAGCAAAACACTTTGCTTGTATTTTCGTATGTTGCGTGAAGAAATAGACCAATGAGAGAACAGTTTACTAGCGCGTTGACTTGTATTAACAAATTTGGTCCGTTTAGAAACACTGCCGTGTGAAAGTGAACCGCACCAAGAATAAAAAGCAACATTGTAATCATTTTAATCCCTGTTTTGGAGCAAAGCAATCGATTTACAGGTGTGAAAACAGGTGTTAATACAGTCACGAGCGAGTAAACTGTTCTCTCATTGGTCAAAGTTCCACGGGTTATTTTCCGGGATTCCACTGAGCTGTCACGCATGTCATCCGTCAGGATGGAACCACAACAGCTTCACGGGCTTATTGTTGTTGTTTTGTAGCTGTCTTTATATTAATTTATCACTTTGAGCAGGAGTCCAGGATTCATTGAGAAAATTTTTTTAAAATGCACCTACTACAAAGAAGAGCAATAAGACGGCATTATAAAATGAAAAAGTGCATGCGCTTTGATTTTGAATGGCGAAGACGTGCTCAGCCACAGACATTCACAGGTTCATTTTGAGGTAGTAGCAAAACAACAAAGCTAATGCTTTTCACGGAACTTACGTAATTATACATTGTGATATAGCCTGGTTCGTTGGTCTGTTGGATCGGATTGCTTTCTCACTACAACCGAACCGCTCCAGAGTTTGTTTTCAATCGAGCCGAGACCACCTCGTTCAGGCGATCTCGGACCGATTGTTTTGGCACGGATCCGAGCGCGATTGCCGTGTTCACATATGCCCAAACGAACCGAGCTAAGGGGGGAAACACACCAGCTTCCCAAACAACGAGCCTGGTGTGAAAGAACCCTTATTAGTCTAATATTAAATCATTCCGATACACTCGACTTGAGAGATGAAGAAGAGACCGATTCAGCAAATCCTTAGAATGCTATTGTTTTAAATAAACTTAATCTCAATTTCTGTTGTCAGTCATGATGTCCAAGATTCATTCGTGGGATTGATGTGAACAATCACTGTTTGGATTAGTGTTTTTGGGGCAGCAAATTAATAATTCAGTACATCAATATAATAAATTCTTCATTCATTACACTGGCCCCCCGCTGGCTCACTGACCCCTCTACCAGCAGAAACCTCGCTTTCCCAGCAAAGCCTTCCATCCAGAGCTGCTGCCAGTACCAGATGAGCATTAGCACTGCGCTTCTGAGGACTTGCTTTCCTGGACTGCCACCTTTAGAATAGAATTGACTTGAGGAATTGAACTGACCTTTCCTCAGCAGCCCTACTGACAGCCAGCACGGCAAGAACCAAAGAAGACAGACTACTGCAGGACTATTTCCCCTGGCAATCATGAGTTCGGCCTCACAGCAAAGCCAGTCACGAGTCCAAGAGCAGATGGAGTGTGAAGTGTCCTGTGTTCTTATGGACTGTCCATCGGTCCAGCTCGGAGACTCTAGGATAGGCTCCAGCATCCCTGCGGCCTGGAGAATGGATGAACTGCTACGGTACATCTTACCAAAACACCCTACAGTATCTGACAGGAGAGAAATCATGTTTTCCACTTCACTCCCAATGCTAATCATTGCTAAAATTATCAAAATTGAAGAATGATCGGGTGTGACGTCATTTCAGGAAAATTAAGTTGGTTTTGGGAGCTCAAATTGGCTGGCCACAGTGAATTTACCATTGGTGGAAATCTCCTCCGGTTCATTTCTTCTTTTCAGTCTGCGAGTGATAACATGAACACACCGGAGAGCTGCTTTATAGTAGAAACTGAAGTTATAATCCGAATCAGAAGTGGTCGAAAGTGATTTTACATGAACGATACTGTAAAGCTGTAGTATACAGTCTTATATAAATGAATGTCTATATTAATAAACGTGATGTGACTTGACTGGAGAGCCGAATGATCAGATTCTTTCTAACTGCTGTGTTGTTATTGAGAGGAAAGCGTGAAGCACATGTACATCTGAAGGTCGCTGTGATTTTGCCAAGTAAGACTCCTGAATCAACATTACTGTCCAAAAATACAGACTTAACCCAATCCCCAACCCTAAACCTTACCCATAATTTATTCCTAAAATCAGTGGGAAATGATAGCTGATTAACAAGGGTGTAAAAGCACCTAATCCTGATTTTAAGCCTAAAACTGACATTTACTGAAAAGTTATCCCTCAATTCTGATTGGTTGATTGGAATGATGTTCCAGGAACATGTTGTACTTGGTGAAATCCCGCTCACCTACACCTGAATAGCCTGAGTCAGTGAACTGTGATTGTGATACCGTGCTACCGTACTACTGTTTGTGGATTAACAAGCTCTTGTGGTTGTTGGTTCAGACAGTTGTGTGCTTGTGGGTCCAGAGATCCCAGATTATCGAGTTCAAGGCGAAGCGGTTATCATCAGATTCCCTTTTCTTGAAGATGCGATTAATTACAGGAGACTGCGAGTGGACAGCAGCTCGAGCTTCCACGTCCGTCACAGCAGCCTGAGGAGCGAGAGGCGTGATGGGGTGATGCTGACCGAGCGCAGGATCCTGCTCCTCCCGTCTCACCCCTCAGACTCTGGAACCTACACCTACATCTTCAGGTCAGAGCTCACAGACTGACAGTCTCCTCCAAAACCGGAGTACTAGCACACTTTAAATCCAGGAACGGACATGCTAACATACTAGTACTAACATCACCTTTACTTACAGACATACTCTACCACTGAAATAACATCGATCGTCTTTAATATACATTTCATATTACAGTAGACTAAATATAAATGTTTATATTTCATAAATTTCACTCTTAAATCAAAGGTAGAAAAAAAGTTAAATGAAGGTCTAAATGACTTTTTTCTACCTTTTGGTTTTGGAGTGAAATATGAACCCAGTATGTAGTTGACACCACTCTTGCACTTAAAGCATGGTTTATATTTATATGAGTTATGTATCTCATGAATGTTTTGATGTTATTAATGCAGATAATAAACGTGGCAGGGGCCACTTGTGCTTCTTTTAGGGGGAACACTTTTAAAATTAATCTTAACCAGCTTTCAGTATTTCTCATTCAGTATTTCTTCACCCTGCAATCTCTAGAAGTGAGCTATAACAAGTTCAACTCAAATGAAGGTTCCATTACCAGATTTTGTCTTTGCACAGTCGCGTCTGCTTCATATCACCTAATAAAAAGGCAAGCAATCAATGTAGGGCAAAACCAGACAATATAAATTAAATATTGAAATCTAAATTTCTTTAACGTGTTACATCTGTTCTCTGGTAGCTTTCTGTAGTGTTTGCAAAGTCATGATTGCTTGATCTGTAGTTTTATAATGTCTAATATAAGCAACAGCGGACACTTGGATAGCTTAACAGCATTTCTCACTGCGTGAACATGACAGAAATTTAATTTTTATTTTCGTTACCTGTATCCTTTTTTTTGGTGTAGCTCTGATGAATATGTGAAGCTCCTTCTCTCTGAAGCACACGGTCTCTGCATGTGTTCTGACTTTTCAATAATTTCCTCTTGACAAAAATGTTATGGCACAATGAATTACTTTATTCCATTACTGCCACCTAAAGGACAAACTGCGCATTACACCCAGAATTGTTTGGTGTGATACAATTCCAAATTTAGGGGGTCAAGCTTGTTGACACGGGGCACTCGGCCCCCCGGACTACGGAAATACCAAGACAGTGCACTCACATTACTATGAATGGGAGAAGGTGCTACATGCAGTATGGCAGAATAAGTCCTGCCTTCTAAATAAATGAGCCAATCACTAATGAATAAAGTCATCACTTCACTGCAGCTGCCATTAGAAGCTCCAGTTGCCATAGAAACATTCAGCGTCCTGAGACACACTTTAGAGCTGCGCATTGGCTGGACTAGCCTGAAATATAAGCTTTTTAACACTTTTGAGCATACAAACAACATTTACAGGACAGTTCATGTCAGATTTTCACTTTACATTAAGTGGCCTTAACTACTATGTACTTACATCAAAAAAGTACTTATTGTGTTCATATTGTATTGTAAAACACTTGCTGCTATTGAGGTGGGATGCGGGTGAGGTTAGGGACAGGTTTGGTAGTATGGGTAGGTTTAAGGATGGGTCAACAGTGATGAAGTTCTTAGCATGCTGATCTAAATGTAGTTAGTAATGCATCTGTCACGCAGGAGCGACACGTTCTGCCTCACTGGGAGTATTACAGTAATGATCTACAAGGAAGAGGAGCCCAACATCACTGTAATGCCCTACACCGCACGCGCAGGAGAAGATACTGACATCGTCTGTCCCCATTTGAAATACTTCAAAAGGTCTGAAAATCCAAAGTGGTACAAGGTAGGTCCCTGCACATTGTGGAAAACATGTAAATACATATTTGAATTCAAAGGACAAAAATTTTTCTAAAATGTATTAATTTACAGGATTTTCAGAGCACAGCTCTCCCTATCGGCAAAGGACAGTATACAGTCGAGAGAGGCATAATTCTGGCCATCAAAAACATCTCTGTGAAAGATGAGGGCTTCTACACGTGTAGGCTAAGTGTGATTTTCAACAATACCCAGTATAATGTGAGCAGGACCTGGAGAGTTCAAGTGTCAGGTAAATAAATTCCCTACGTCGTGTCATACGGACGGTTCTGCCACTGCTTCTCTTTCTTTCTAAACCTGTCCGATGGTTGAGCAAATGATGACATCTTTTCTTTTTCAGTCCCAGAATCAGAAGCGGTCACCTCTAACAGTCTCAGTGCTTTCACATGCAAGTATCAGAGATGCTTTTTAAAAATATATATAATTGAACCTACATATTGATCTAAAACATTAAAATAACCATTTGAATTCTACTCCCTGGTAATTTAACAATGTTTTCTCACAGCATCGAGTCTTTCATTCCCTTACATTGTCTTTCCTGCAAACGGATCCTTCATTGAAAGTCATTTAGGTGAGTCTACACTGTTAACAATACTAATTTACAGGGGTTTATTGTCAGAAATTTAGATGATATATTTATATGCAGGTCACACATTGCATGACACTGTCCATATTATCGTATGACCGTATTCTGTAATACAAATAAACTGTACTGTACTTAATTTGAAATGGAGCTTAGCCAGTTTCATTTGGATTGGACACAACTTTCAGGGACAGGTTTACAGCACAATAATGGACAGTGAAAAAACTGGCTATACAGAAGACACTGAAGTTAACAAGTTCACATGTTAATATAATCCGCGAGTAAAAGGACAGTAAACAGATTTGGTTTTTCCAGCATGATGGAGGACTTGAGCAAGAGCTTTCATTTCCTAGACTTTAATTTCCCAGAAGTTAATAATAAATAGTCATAAAGCAAACATACATGTTGATTGCTCACATTCGATTGAATTCACTAAGAATTGCATTCAAGTATTCTCCATAAAGGGCTTCCAGCACAACCTCATCTCTCTCACCTATGTGGACTGAATTGGTAATTTAAAAATGTTATATTATTTTAAGTACTGAATCATTAATTCTCTGTAAGAACCTTCCCACAGTGAGTGAATAAGGCCCATGTTTGTTTACTTACTGTTATGTAGTGATTATCAGACAGTTACTTACCAACCTTTAACAGTGCTGTTAACTTGCAGGCGTTCCTTTGGTGATCCAGTGCATGGTGTCTGTTGGAAACCAGCTAGCTCAGTCCACAGATGTGACATGGCTGGTTAATGACCAGTCAGTGGAAAACTCTTACCTGGGTGGACGTGCTTTTCAGACAGATAAGAGGTAACCTTGATGCCTGCATTGATCCATTTGAACATTGTGTGTGAATAAAGGTCAAAGGTGACAGTCAACAGTCCAGAGCACATGAGCGAATGGTCTAGACACTTTGGTGAGAATGCAGCGGAGGCAGAAGTGAGTCCATGGGCAGGCAGGATAGGCCCCAGCATCCCCATGACCCTACAGTACACAGGACACGTGGTTTGGAGAATGGATGGATGGTCATTGGAGTCAGAGACCAGGCTAGGTTGAGTCTGAGTCGAGACAGAGACCAGAAGAGGTTCTGAATGATTCAGTGTAAATGTGCCTTCCTTTGGGATGAATGAAGTCTGGTTTCACGTCATTGTCATGCAAACCTATGCAGCAAACACAATGTGCCCCAGTCCAGAAACACAATAGCAAAGAACTATCAGCAAGTCAGAGTCAAGGCCTAGTCTAAATGGTCCATGACCGTGATGAGACGAGACCATTTTTATGGTCTTGGTCTTGTAATGTTCATGGAACATTTATACTTCGAGTCTGGTCTTGAGTCTCATTCATTCCCCAAATCGCTTGTCTTCTGCAGGGTCGTGGGAACGCTGGTAAGGCCACTGATGGGGGAAATGCCATGCACAGATGGCCAGTCCATCAGTCTGATATTGTCTGATATCATTCTCGCCATTTACACACTTTCAAATTACTTTTAGTGATCTCCAACAGGCTTTGCAGCACAAAAACCGTCCACAGAGTACTGGGGCGGAGGAGGAACTGGTAGAGGCTGAAGGAAGGTCAGGGGCCAGGCAAAGGTCAGAGCTGGCAAAGCAGTCTGAAATGGGCAGATAGTCCAAAGAGTAAAGCCAAGGGCAAGGTCAGGCACAGGCAGGAAGTTGACAGCCAGAACCAAGGGACTTGACTGAGGCAAGAGAGCAGAGGGTCCAAGCACTGGGCAGAGCAGTCTGAAGACAAACCTCAGACAGGGCAACACAGGATTGGGCAGAGAGCTCTAGCACACACAGATCCGAAAATACAAAGACAAAAAGTCAAGGCATAACAAGACAAGAGTTCAGTAGGAGAGAGCAGGCAAAAGAGAAACGAGTGATCAGCTGTGTGTGGCTGTCATGTGGAATAAGGCGAAACAAAAAACAATGCAAGAACTGGAGAGACCAGAGTCCTGACAATAATGGAGAATACTTTCATCCAATACTCAGCACTATGTGGAATTTAACATCACACAGAGTTGATGTGTTTTCAGTATCTCAGGCAAGCATCTGGAGGTGCAGCTGGTTATCCTCGAGCTCCTGGAAGAGGACAATGGGACAGAATTGAAGTGCATATGCCAAAACGAAGACCAGAAACAGGAAGTTGTCACTCAAATCAAACTGGAAGGTGGGTACCGTTGACCAGAGGGGCTACTGTATGCTTCTTTTCTTAGTGCTAATTTGAAATCATTTAAACTCACATGAGATCATATCAGTAGCCAAATAAATGAGGTTCACAACGCAGGTTTGGGAGGAGCCTAATCAACCAGTCCTGCCAATTATCGTTTCGACCGTATATTGTTCCGTCCAAACGATTATTCTTCCGGCATCCCTCCACCACCCCTTCTCCTCCTTTAAATCCCTTCTCTTTCATCCACACCATATCATCATAGGGGGTTTCTTACTCTGAGCTCAAGCCGAGCCTCGGGTTTCAAACCTTCTTCACGGACAGCAAGCCAAGTTCGTTTTACCATTACCTGGCAGGGCTGAATGGGCAGGCGAACTCGTGAAAAGCTGATTTAGGGGGTATTTACATGTCACCATTTTGGTCACCTGCAAATGCAGCCTTTAGAACACAGGTTTCAAAGTGCAAAGTGTGTTTTTGGAAACGATAATGTTGTTGTCATGCTGTGATGTCAGTCTGTAGGAATGCGTGTATGCACTGGTAAAGTGGCATTGCCAGGTACTGGCCTGGCATGCAGGTTTGCATCAGTTTGACAACGTTATCATCTGTATGTGAAACCTTTCAAAAACACAAAGGAAAAACTCTTCAGTATTTAGTACAATCGTTGACGTGCAAACGTATGCTGACTCTACATGAGCAGGCCGCCTCATTCAGCTTTAGTCACATGAACAGCCACATATCACTCACTTTAGGATATTAGCTGCATTCACACTATGTGTCGTAATTACCGTAATTCTGAGATAACAACACGTGACGTTCTACTCCGAGGCAGCGTCTAAATTAATCTGGAGGCAGTCAGGTAGTCCGAGTCGTAGCTCTCAGAACATTCCCGCTTATAAGTTGTAATTATGAGTTCTGCAAGAATGTGAACACCATGGCATTGATAGAGTTGCCATAGAAACACATAATTCAGAGTCTGAGGACTTGGAACAGCTAGAGTAGAACGTCATGTTTTGTCATCTTGGAATTACAACATTGCGTGAACGCATTTAATGTCCCAAAGTAGGTTCGTTTCATTTGTTATGTTGGTTGTCATGTTAAATAAATCATTAAAAACTGAAGAAGAGCATTTCAGCATGTCAGTGGAAAACTTAATATATAATATATAATCTTCTGAAGATGCAGCATTTTGACTGAACCACTTCTACTTCTGCTGCACGAGATGAGAGCACATTTTTATAATTCTTCAGGTCAAGAAAGCATCTGAGTTTGTGGTTTATTTCCTCCTTTGCTCTGTCTGGATGCGCTTAAATCCGCAGTAAGGACGCGTTCTTGTCACATTTCACACATGCGCACTTCAATAAACTGCCAGAAAGCAGGTTCATGCATTTACATGCTGAGTGAAATCTAGCTGGTATGATCGGTTTATGCTTAAGCTGTTTATGACATTACTCTGATAAAGGAAAATGAGTTAACACATTTATATGATCATGTGCTTTGTCGGCTTATTAAGCATAATCGGTCAGGAACGTGCATGTAAACGCACTCACTGCATTTTCAGTGTATTGTGTGTTTTCACAAGTATCATTGCTTCAAAGCAGCTGTACAGAAAATCATGATGTTAATGTTTTTATGCTATTATCTTCGTATCATACAGTCGCATTTAGCAGTTAGCCGATAATATAGTTTACATTTTGTGACGATATAAACAATCCATCATCAAAAGTTTTTTTTCTAATGTTACGCTGATTTAATTTTATGGTGTTCGAAAGGACCTGTACTAGACAAAATTTGTATATATTAATATATCAAAGCAAATGATGTTGGACCTGTTTTTGGTTGTTTATCCTACACACCTATCGATCACCTACAGGTGTGCGAGGGTAATTGTTGATGATTGCTAAACCCAAACATTCCATCAAATTCATTCATTCCAACACAGACAACGGAGTAAAACAATGGTAAACATCATCTGTCTCTGTGTATTTTGGCAAGTCTTCTTCGTATTTTATCTTTCACTTCTGTAACGTTCACTACTTGCTACAGTAGCCACGCCCCAAACTCTCACTATTGGCTGCATGGAGGGATGCAAATACATAGACATCCTATCATAGCACTCGTACCGAACACACTGATTGCAAGAACATTTTATGGTCCTAAGCCTATTTGGACCACTTTAATTATTGATTGCTATCAGAATGTGAAGAGACTTTCAACCAGTATAACAAAAATGTTTCTTTCAAAAATCTTTCACAGTGTACTGTTGTGCACATTGAAATTGAAAAAGAAAAATTAGAGAACCTGTAAATGATAAGTCTAAAATGTCTATTTAGATATGTTTAAATTGTCTGCTTCAATTTCTTTCTCCTCCTCTCTTTAGACTCGGAGTCTGTGTGGTTGGTGGGAGCTGCTGCATCCTCCTGTTTTATGCTCGTGGTGTGTGTTTTTGCATATCATTTGTGCCAAAGGCCACAGAAACCAAGGGACTATGTTCTGGCTCGACAGGACAGCACCATGTGAAGATGGCTTCCACTTTACATCTTCAACAATGCACCTATCTTCATCATGTTTTAGTTACTCTGATCTTTTGTGTCGAGTTGGTCTTTTGTTTGAACTTTGTTTTGCTAGGTCTTGCCTCACAGTTCCCTCTCTAATTGTTTTCGGGTGTTTCTTGTTTCTTGCAATCATTACTCCCACATACACACTCCCCTATTTTCAGTACTTGTTTGGTCTGTTCTGTATGCATATTGGCAAGACTTGGTTCCTTGTTTCTTTGTATTTAGCTTTAAAATAAAGCTGCACTTGGATCCATACAACTTCTGTTTTTCGAGCTATTAGTAGAACATCTGTGTAGACTTTAGTTCAAGATCAGATGTTGGCAGACAACAACACATCTGATTTGGCCATTATTTTATATCTACAGCAGTCTTCCCCATTATCTCAGACATATAACACATGCTGTGACTCTTCCTCTGTTCCAGTCATTCAAGTCAAGTTTATTTATATGGTGTTTTTCACAATACATATTGTCTCAAAGCGTTTTGTACACCACAATGTCAGCTTTTTGAGAATAGTATAATTTTAATGCTAAAACTCACCTCTTTAAAGTTCCCTATTAACCCCCCCTGAACCCTCAACCCTGCTTGTGGAATTAATGATAATGTATGTTTGTGATGGAAATGTGGGTAACACTTTAGCATAGGGACCAATTCTCACTAGTACCTAGTTGTTTATTAGTACTTATAAAGCATTTATTCTGCATGACCATTTTCTACATCCCTAATCCTACCCGATACCTTAACGTAACAACTACCTTATTAACTCTTAATAAGCAGCTAATTAGGAGTTTATTGAGCCAAAAGTCATAGTTAATGGTTTGTTTATAGTGAGAATTTGACCTTAAAATAAAGTGACTGAAAAGTAATATGCAGTTTAAGAGCATGATCAGACTGATGCATAAATATATCAAGCTCATTCATCATTTGAAATCTAGAGCAAGAGAGAAGAAAATGAAAGATGATAAAGGCTCTTTCTTACAACCAATTCCAGACAGAGGAAGAGCTGGTCCATTGTACCCAGGAAACAGGACGCAATATGGACAGTGGTGAACCTCTCCCAAATAACATAAGTTGATCAAAATTGTCTTTCTCTGTTTCTTGCGTTGAAAAAAATTGCCACGACAGTACCATTTACAAGAAGCTCTGGGTGGGAGTCGAAAAATAGCCAGAATTATTGTGGCGAATAATAGAGGAAGATAGGACAACTGTTAAAGGAACAGCGGGCAGGGAGGAAGAATGGAATTTGTCAGAGGCGCTAAAAGATTAAGATTAATAAACGATCAAGAGGGGATAGCCCAATTATAATTAAGCCCACAGACAAAGGTAGCGTGGTAGTAGTCATGGACCCAGAACAGTATGTAACGACAACTGTGAGACAACTGTGTTTATAGATCACTGGACAAACCTATCTTCCCTGAAATCTATAACATTCATTAAAATGCCATATCACCCTGCAGCCCAAGACTGGTCTCCCACTGAAGCTGAGCAGCGTTGAGCTGGTCAGTAGCTGGATGGGAGACTCCTGGGAACGCTGTGTTGCTGCTGGAAGAGGTGCTAGTGAGGCAAGCAGGGGGTGCTCAAAATGGAACTGAAAGCGCTTTGTAAACGGGCACTTTGCAGAGAGGGAGGCAGAGTATGTGAGGGGCATGACATGCTGGGGGCAAAGAGATTTGGTAACATTTTATAATAACTTTCATTAATAAATCATTAACGAGAATTATATGATGCTTAATGGATCATCAGTTAATATATATTCAAAGAGTTAGAAACGTGAGATAATGTGCTTGTTAATGTTTGCTAATAAACTTATTAAACAATGGATAATGTTCAAACAAATCATTTCATGTAAGTTAGAATACTTACAAATGTCAATAAACTTTCAAGTTAGGGACAGGTTAGGTGAGGTTAGGGACAGGTTAGGAGAGGTTAGGGACAGGTTAGGTGAGGTTAGGGTTAGGTGAGGTTAGGGACAGGTTAGGTGAGGTTAGGGACAGGTTAGGAGAGGTTAGGGACAGGTTAGGTGAGGTGAGGTTAGGGACAGGTTAGGGACAGGTGAGGAGAGGTTAGGGACAGGTTAGGTGAGGTTAGGGACAGGTTAGGAGAGGTTAGGGACAGGTGAGGTGAGGTTAGGGACAGGTGAGGAGAGGTTAGGGACAGGTGAGGTTAGGGACAGGTGAGGAGAGGTTAGGGACAGGTTAGGTGAGGTTAGGGACAGGTTAGGTTAGGTAAGGTTAGGTGAGGTTAGGGACAGGTTAGGGACAGGTTAGGAGAGGTTAGGGACAGGTTAGGTGAGGTTAGGTTAGGTGAGGTGAGGTTAGGGACAGGTGAGGTTAGGGACAGGTTTGGTGGTGTGGGTAGGTTTAAGGGTTGGTTTAAGGGTCAACAGTGGAACATGGTTCAATCTGCTTATATTATATTGTTTTGATAAATTAAGTGTTTTCTTTTTTTTAATGATTTGTTTGATTTGATATACTGAAGATAGTGTACTAATGTGAGTGTTGAGGTGATAGCAGATTGTAATTTTGGTGCAAAAATTTTTTGTTTGTCTTTAGCAAGCATTTAGCTAAACCTAACCAGCCATCCTTTACACAAACCTTGTTCCATTAGCTAAAAGTCCAATACCCATAAAGATACTGATTAGTAATCATTTATAAACATTTGCAAATGATGAATAGTTTGCACTTTAGATTGGCTGCTGCAAAAACAGGAACAAATGATTAATAGATTAATTGTTATGGTGTGTAAATAGAGGTCTACACAACAAATGAAGATCACATGACCTGAAAGTTTATTGTCATTTGTAAGCATTTCAATTTACATTAAATAATCATATGTTAATCATTAGGTAACGTTTAGTAAGTTCATTAGTAAACATTAACAAGAACAGTATCTCATATTTCTAGCTATGTGAATATATATATATAAATATTAACTAAAGATCTAAGTTATTATTCTGAATAAAGTGTTACCGAAATGTTGAGAAAACACTTAAAACTGAAATGATTTCTGTAAGTCCAGTGGTCAAATGCTCAGTTTCTGTGTAAATCGACATCTGATCAGTGACTGATCTCTGTGTGAATGTGCTCAAAACTGAAGTCTTTCTGAATGTATGTAAGCAGAAGGCTATTTTAAAAAGGAACGTTGTTATTGTGTGAATAATATGTGATCAATAAAACAGTAACTGTAGTCTGATTACGAGTCTATTACTGTGTAATTTAATCTAATTAGAAGTATTTTTGAATCTGATTATGTAATCCAGATGACATGTAATCAGTTCCCCCCAGCTCTGCTCACAGCTGTGAGTCTCCGTATGTCTTGAACACTTGACTGTAGGAAAGTGAAGATCTTCACTAACCGTCAGCTACTTTTATGTGTGGAGAGGAAAACCAACAATCATCTCATCTCTGTGTTGCTGTACGCTACCAAAGTCACACATGAAACCCCGCAGCACACGGGAGACACACATTTGTGCAGCGCCGAGCAGCTCTCTCACACTGTAGGACGTGACAGACTTTTCTGAGAATGAGATTGTCACTCTCATAAATAACTGGACTGCGTGTGAATGTAACCGTATTAATACAGGACTGACAGCCGTATCATGACGCCGTATTCTGTGTGAACATGGCCTATATAAAGCTAGAAAAATGAATGTGTTTTATATCATCTGTGTTTAAAAGCTACAGAGATGAAGGATCCATTGGAGTTCCTGCAGCTCATCTGAAGATGACAGTATTTCATCCAGTGAGGAAAAGAAGAGCCGTAGAGAGAAACACACAACTGGACGAGGTAAGAGTCATGATTATTATTAGAAATGGTACTTCTCCATTTAAATGCTGTTCACAATTGCACTTGTAGCCTTTGAACAGTGCTGCTAATAATTGGATCTTGGATCTCTAAAGTCCAATAACCAGATCAAAAGAATCCAAGGAAACAAATAGCACAAATACTACAAATGTTTGTATGTGCAACATATATGCAAGTGTTTGCCTTCTATTTCTGGCATGACTCTGTATCTAGCAAAGACCCAGCTGTTTTTTAGCTTCTACCCTTTTACCCTTTTAGTTGAGGTATCAACAAACATTTCTGAAATATCATTGCTTCAAAATCATTGAAATGAACTACAAATGTTCAACCTGTGTTCACAGAAACTGTGCATGCTATGTGATGAATGTGATGAATCCTGCTGTATCACATTTGATTTCTAAGTCCTCTAAATGTTAAATAATCCACACTTTGCTGAATCTCCTGCTGTACACAGTCTACTACATGCCTTCTGTTGTCTTAACTCAGAGTTTATACTTTTAGCAAGTAAAGGACCTTTCAGTATAATTGTAGAAAATGTTCCCCTTCATTTTGAGAAAATCATGTTAAATGTATCAAATATGATGCCTCAGGGGCCAGATTCACGAAACAGAAATTCATAAAATTCTTCTGAACTGCCATTCTCTTCTTATTTTCTAACATTAAAAAGAATATTTTTGTATTCTCAAAAACTTTTCTTAAGCATGTTCATAGAAAAGTAAACAAGTATGAAGTGTGAGAAACGTATACATTAGCATCAGCTTTGATCTTTATTAATGTAAATATCATCTTACAAGGACATGATGGGGAGATATAGTCACAACATGCAGCCAGAGATGAGCGTGGCAAGGAACTCAAGACTCCGTTTTGCCTTTTCTCATTAAACGTTTATTTCAATGTTTATTTAGTCCATTGACTTTTTTTTGTGCAGCCAGAAAGGCAGAAGAAGTTATTAAATACTACAAAGAGGTACTGAAGACTTTCAGAAAAGTGAGAAAAATGTCTGCAGTCTTCCATCGACATGGACTGGACAGAGGAACTAACTGCAGATCCTGGGTTTTACCAAGAGATAAAACATTAACAAAAGGAAACTCTTTTTGATTTTGACAAAAGGTGCAATGCAATGATGTCTACTACTACAAAGCAAAGAATAGAAGAAATTAAACAAAATAAGGAGCTCCTACTCGTGCAGCATAGCTATAATGAGGTAAGGCTGATGCTTAATGTCTGGGGAATTTGCTTATTTAAAGCAAACCTTTGCTTGCTTGTTTGCTCTTTTAAAGGTCTCTAATTGCACTGTTCTTTTCTGTTTGGAGACTGTTTTGGAGTGAGTTCTCTAGTATTCTTATTACTCTGTGTTCTTTGCTGTTTGTGAGTAGTGTTTCTAACTCTTACTTTGAAAGGTAAGCATCTTTATTTTCAATGATGAAAACATTTGAAAATTGATTTTATTTAAGGGAGACACCGTATCCCTTAAATGTCTGTCTAGTTTGAACTA